ATATTCTGGTAGGGCCTGGATCACCAGCATCTAATCATGAAGAAACTTTAAACTCAAGGAGGGAGGGCGCTGTATTATCTAAAAATGCCACTGTCATAAAAGATCATGAAAAGGCAAGGAATTATTCCAGACTAAAGAAGACTAAGGAGATATGACAACTAAATGCAATATGAGGCCCTTGTCAGGATCTTTTACAAGAGGAAGACAAATCCTATAAAGAATATTATCAAGTTGGGTGCCTGGGTGGCTCAGGGTGGTGTGGTGCTCCCTCCTCAGCAGAGAGCCTGCTCTTCCCTCTCTCTCTGCCCTGCCCCCACCCCATGTCTCCCTCTTTTAAAAATTAAAAAAAAAAAAAAAAAGTACAGGAAATCACTGTGTCCAAGGTCAGTGTGAAAAAAGTGCCAAAGGACCTCAGAGAAGGAAGCACCTGCATATGGCTAAGTATAAGAAAAATCAACATGGAGGAAGTGACATTCCAGCTGCGCTGGAAGGGATAAGAGTGTACTGCTGGGGCTGGGATGGGTGAAGGTAGAAGTAACAGTGCCAAGGATCCCAGTTTGGGAAAATGGAAACTTACCACGTGACTCCGCGTAGGCCTGCAAACCTAACACAACAAGCTTGGTCTCCAGACTCCTTCTAGTCTGGACTCAGCTCACTAAGGCCCCACACTCTGCCCCACAGAGTTAGGCTACTGAGACAGGATTCCCCGCCCCCGAGGAAGGGCCTGTGATATTCCCTAGACTGAAGTTGCAGTTTTTTAAAAAAAGATTTTATTTATTTACTTGACAGACAGAGATCACAAGTAGGCAGAGAGAGAGGAGGAAGCAGGGTCCCTGCGGAGCAGAGAGCCCGATGCAGGGCTCAATCCCAGCCCCCTGGGATCCTCACCTGCAGCGAAGGCAGAGACTTTAACCCACTGAGCCACCCAGGCACCACTGAAGCTGCATTTCCAGAGGCCTGGGAGCTGTTGAACTTAAGAGAAAGACAATGGACCCTACTCTAGCTTAGCTAGTACCCTCCTCAGATACGAGTGTTTGCGTTCTGATTCTGCCATTACCAGCCCTGGGCCTTGGGCAATTCGTCTCATTCCTCCCAGCATCAAGGTCCTCATTTTTAAAATAGATAAGCTTCCCAAGATCGGTGTGATTAAGTAAAACAATGTCTTCCCAGGTTTGGTGTGATTAAGTAAAACAATGTAGGCCAAAAGCCAGCAGCCTCCTTCATAGCAGGCACTGCACAAAAGGCCATTGTTGTTTCTACTTTTGCTTACAGCAACACTTGTGGGTAAGAAACACTGGAATTAAATCCCGAAAGCTCAGCCTAACTTCCATTCTGTCACTTAAATACTCTGCGGGAGGAGGGAAGCATCTAACGTGGGTTAGCACCTACTTTGTTTCGGGTACTGGGCTGGTTCTTAATGCACTTAATTTTTCTTTAAGAGGAGGACAGAACCTGGAAATAGGTATTATCCCCATTTTAAGAAAATTAACTTCAGTAAGATTAATTTATAAAGTCACAGAACTGACAGGAGATCCGATTGAGATTTCAACCCAGGATGTATGAACCTCGTTCCTTGCTCCCCAACCATCAAGCTGAGGTAAGCAGGCTGCCTAGTGAGGCACAGTAGAGGAGGGGAGGAAGTAAAGGGGATGGGAGATCAGTAAAGTGACCCATTCGTTAGCCTTCTATGTTTGCCCAGCTTTACTAGAGACTAGAGTTGGAACCCACTACAGCAATACCCAGCCCTCCTTTTGCTCTGTTAAGTGATCCAAGTCCTAAAAATGAGCGGTCATCTAGAGCCTGGGGGACCGGGCAGCTTTATAAAGAACCAACGTTGCCTGTTTAGCTCTCCAGCATAGCCACGTTGCTGCAGTTTTACAGCTGGAGACTTTCTCTCCATTTGAACCCACCCAGTTCAACCTAGAGATCGGTCTCTCCAGCCACAGCAGTCACCTGCAGAGACAGGCACTGATTCTTACAAGTCCTGAGAAGACAGCACACCTAGACCGAGCCGGCGCTGGGTACTCAGACCTGGTTTGGACACCTAACAGTTACATGACCTTGGGCAAACGTTAACACCTCAACCACTCTCACCTGGTCTGTAAAAATGGACGATACAACACACACGCGGAGTAAATGATGCAATGGGTATGAATGGCTCGACATGGTGCTGGCGCAGTTGGCAAGAGTTCCCAAACACAGCCCTGCAGTGGCAGCTTCTCAAGAAAAGCCAAGAGCCCTACAGTTCTGGATAACAGATGGGGTCTTACATCTAGGGCATGATTATATGGCTATTTATTCCCCAGAGAGTAGATACCCAACAAGAGATGGGGAGCAAGGAAAGCAGAAAGCCCTTAGAATGATCAACTTGACTTACCTGCCCCTTCTCCCTGCATTTGTTCTTCTCAGCAATCCTCCCAATTTCTGTGGTAATAAACAATAAGGTCGTCTCCCTACTTAATGTTGATACACCTCATGCAATGTCTGATACTCTGGAAGAAAGGCCAAGGGAAAACTTATTTTTCTCTGACTGTATCTGATCTCAATTCTTTTTCTCTCCCTTTCCTTTGAGTATCCAGCACTGGAAAATCAGTCAAGAAACTGGAAAATATACCTGGGAGGAAAATGTGGGGAGATAAAGACCTTGTGTTCTTAAGGGTGGGAAGGGACCAAGCCTTTTCCTTTTCAGTAGGGGAGTGTTCACAGGCTTATAAGTATTAATAGTTTTTTTAAAAATTATTAATCAGAACTTGACTTGCTTCTTTGCCTGTATGGTATCTTCTCAAAAGTCAAAAGCACAGGAATTATTAGTCCTAGGAAAGTAGCTGTGACCTTGGATCTTTCTATGCTGTCCAAAACCACCTAGAAATCACAATCAAAATATGTGCTACATTTAAGGAGATCACAATTAAGAGATGATGATTTTAGTTCAGTCTGAAATCCTGAGAAACTTTCCCAGAATACTGTAAACCCGGATTTGAAGCATAACAGAGCATTAAAAGACCTGATTACTTCTGAAGTTTCAAGCAGCAATTATGGAAGTTTCAAGCCTGCCCACCAAACCCAGGGGAAAGTGTAGTGTAGCTGCTTACACACACACATAATTGGAGGTTGAAAAATTTGTTTTGTAATTAAGGTAGTTAAAGCACTGAGAGGTTCCTCTCTAGATTCAAGCTCATGGTTTGTTTGTTTTTTTCAAGATTTTATTTATTTGAGAGAGAGAGCAAGTAAGCATGGGGACGAGGAGGGGCAGAGGGACAAGCAGACTCCCTGCTGAGTGCAGAGTCTGATGAGGGGCTCGATCCCAGGACCCTGAGATCATGACCTGAGCCGGAGGCAGGTGCCTAACAGACTGACCCTCCAGGTACCCCTCAAACTCATGGATTAATACATTATCTCCATCCTTTTTATTCACCATTTACACTCACACTCTGTGTATGTGTATATACGTGTGTGTGTGTGTGTGTGTGCGCGCGCGCGTGCACAGGCATGCATGCTGTTAAGAAGCACGTAATAAGTCAGGTTGTTCAGATTTAATGACTCTGTGGTCTGTTATCATTTGAACACATCGCATCTGTTTCATTGAGTCTGCTGTTCGTAGACAGTCTAGGACATCCAGCCCCCCAATTAGCATATTTAATCAAAGTCTTCTGCACCCTAAACCCTCACAAAACAGCTGTGATGACATAACAGAAAAGATACACATTAGTCCAGTCAGTGACAAAGCACTCGTCTTTAGGGTCCAAAGATCTCTACAACCAGATCAAGAGCAGACGGAGGAAAGGGCAGAATAGGGGAACGATATCATCTGAACCCAACTTTGCTAAGTCCCTCCTTTCCAGATGGCCTGAGGCTCCCTTTTCTTATGTGCGGATTAAATCGACTTGTGCAAGACCAAACATTAAAAAAGAAACCCAGGAAGGAGGAAAAATTATAGTAATGCATGTGGAGAAGATGAGGATTGTGTACTGAAACTCTGTGACCCGCTAAAGGAGTGGCCAAAATACCCTGGAGGCAATAACCCACGAACACCCTGGCTTGCAGGGACATGAAGATTTAGCCAGAATGCTGTCCACGGGGCAGCTGGCACCCCCAGCTCCTTGGCTGAACTTCCACCACATTCTTGTGAGGGTCACAGAATCTTCTAGAATCAGCAAATCCTCCTCTTCTCAGTCCTTACAAAGGCAGAAACAGCTGCGGGGAGGTGAGGAAGTTGTAAATCTCTGAGCTAATTCTTTGTAACCAGACAGGCTCAGTTTCCCAATCAGATCCTCTGCTGTAAGAAAGCCAGGGTTTTTTCTTAATGGAAGTTCAGCATCGAGGAAAAGCTAGCAAAATCATTTACTCACAATCCCAGACCAAACTGAGACAGACAGGTTAAGGCAGGGTCAAATGCAAGAGGCCCACGGAAACCCTATGCAGGCCAAAAGCGGGTTACTCAGGAAATCCCTAGGACTGCCATGGTGCTCGGGGCCCTCTACATACATACTACATCCTTATGGGTATGTTTTGTCCAGACTAACCAGGCCATACTAGCCCCAGCTAGATAAGTTCCCCAGGTCCAGAATGGAAGAATCTGTGGACAACAGGGGACAATCGGTCACTATTTCAAACTTCTTGGTTCCTCTCCAGCCCTGATTTATGTCCCCAGAAAATTGGGGCATCGGTGGACCAGACTCAGATTATGAGATGGGGCATGAACAGCCGGTCCTTGTGAGTATTTAGAAATAACTGAACTCCCTTTGGAGTCACATTAACTCCTGGTTCTGTGCTAGGAGTGTAATACTAAAACAGAAAGTCTTATTTTGAAACATTCTCACCACCTCCCCAACTTTGGCACCTCCCAGTCTTCATCTGTCCCCCGTCTTCCCCTCACAAATGCACCATCCAAGTATTATTCGGACATTTTCAGTATATCTAGGGCCCAAGGACAATGTGGCATTCATGGCATTTGGCAAAAAATACCATCCCACATTAAAGACTCTTCCAGTTCAACACAGTGAAGAAAAAAATTATAATGTTAAGAGAAGGGGCAGCAGAAACCAGGCTGTCCCTTCCCACACCAGAGGCACAGAGATTTCGAGAGTCCTCGAAAAGGGCATTCATCTCTTGCCAGAAGGCCACCAGCCACCACCGGTTGGGAGGCGCGTGATGGCTTGCTTCTCCTCGGGACTGAAATGCAAGATGGTCAGGATGGCCGTGAGGGTCTGCTGGCGGCCCAGGCTGTCAGACAAGGTCAGGAAGCGGTAGATGATGTTTTTGAGGTACTCCAGGTTGGCTCCCTCCCTACTCTGATCCCTGATGTTCTTCTCAATGTGGCTCTGCAGGGCGGCTACCTGCTCTCGGTGCCGCTCCCCCTCCTCCAGCAGCCGGTCCTGCAGCTGCCGAACCTCCCCCTCCACCCTGTGTTTCTGCTTGCGCAGCGACGCGATCTCCACCTCCTTGCGGGCCAGCTGCTCAGCGTACAGGAAGAACGTGGGCTCGTTGGCCGCGGCCAGCTGCAGCGCCTGGGTCAGGCTGTCCGGGGCCGACGTGTCGGCCGGGTCCCCGGGCCCCCCGCCGCCCACTGGGCTCCTGCGACCCGGCAGCCCGGAGGACAAGGCCACGGAGCGCAGCTGCTCCAGCTCCAAGTCCTTCTCGGCCAGCACAGCCAGGGCCCGGTCCCGCTGCTTGTGCAGCTCCTCTTCTAGGCGCAGCGCACGCTCCCTGAAGTCCAGCTGGCTCTGCTCCAGCTCCTGGCGGTGCGCGTGTTGCAGCCGGGCCAGCTCCTGCTTCCAGTGCTCGGCCTCCTGCCCGTGCTGGCGCTCGAGCTCCTCGCAGGACAGCCGCAGGGAGATGTACTTCTCCTTCAGCTCGGCGAGCTGCTCCTGGGCCTCCTCCAGCTCCTTGGCCAGATTGCCATCCTTGGTGTTCTTGCTCTTGAGGACCACCTGGGCCCTCATCTTGTACCTCTCGAACTCCTCCTTCAGCTGCTTCAGCTCCTGTTGGTAGTAGAGCGCCGAAGCCTTCTCCCCATCAGCGGCCTCCGAGCCAGCCATTATCTCCAGGTCACAGAGCTTCTCCACGTCCAGGGTTACCTGGCTTTTCCTGGCCGCCACCTGCAGCAGCCTCTTCAGCTGCTCCATCTTATCCTTCAGGACATTGACATCCAGACTGGACTCCTCGCCATGGCTGTCCAGCGGGGAGCGGCTGGAGGCGGCAAGCGCCAGCGTCTTGTTCTCCAGGTCCAGCTGCAGGATGCGCTCCTTTAGCTTCTGGATAGCCAGCTGGTCCTTCTGCTTGGCTTTCTCATAGGTGCCCAGCAGCTCGGACACCTCAGAGATTTGATTCTCCAGGGCCGCCACCCTCTGCTCTTCCACCTGGGATTGCTGGCGTAGCTGATCCTCTGCAAGGGCTGTCTGTAAGGCAAGGGGACAGATGGAAATGCATCCAGAAAAGCCACAAAGGCCTAGAGCAAACTGAGAGAGCAAGAGAGGGGAGCAAAGGGGTCACAGGACTCAGATGGCCTGGTGAGAAGGGGCACTGGGGCTTTTCCTGTTGCTTTGGAAACTAACGAACGTTCCTATAACCTGGTGGGGTTCTGCTCCCAGAGATACGTTACAGCAAACAATATTAAGAACCTCCGCGTATCTGCTGTTGTTCTGCTCTAGTGTCTCCTGTCTCCTGTCATACACAAGGCTCACACGAAAACTGCGTTATCTTTGTTTGTCATCTGTTGCCCCAAATCCCACCAAGAAATCACAAGACATTCTTTTCCTCTCCCAATATTCCTGGAAATTCAAAACTCAGTTGGATCTCTCTCCACGAGGAAAGGGGCACTGTAAAATAGCACACCTTTCCAGAACAGGTTAACTGACTAGAAGCAATTATAAGAGGCTGCTTCTGAGACTTCCTTTTGCACCACCTCCCCCTCCCCGCAGCCACCCTACCTACAGGCGTATACCGCTCCCTGTGTAACGCATCTGCCTAGAGGCAGACACACTCCTTTCACTGCACAGCTGAAACTGTGCTGCCCCACGGAGCACAGCTGCTAATGCCAAGGCCAGAAGTTCAGAGGTGTCTCGTCCCAAACCAGCCTACACTGAGGAAGTCCACAATCTGTTGGAAGCACATTCTGTGGATACTGTCCACACCACACCACACCGACTTCCCAGGACTCACAGTGCAACCTCCTGAATAGCATCAACACGGCAGCCACTTAGTTCTAATTACCAAAAGAGACAAAACCCTGATATTTCCCACTCTGGGCTAAATGACTAACATTTGAAGGAGATGACAGTAATTACCTTCCTCATTTCCTGCTGCAGCTGAGCCTGGAAATGGCTCTTCAGGCAGGCAGCCTCTTCCTGAAGCTCCCGCAGCCGAGGGTCAGGCCGATTCTTCTCATCCCGAAGAGCCTGCAGCTCACCTTTCAAGTCCTCCACCTCACGGGTCAGCTGCTTGGTCTGCAGCTCAAACCCTTCCATCTGACCAGCTGCATAAGCGCGTCCTGCCAGGGCTTCTCTGGTCTCTTCCAGCCGAAGCTCCAAGTCCTGGCGCTGGGTCCTCTCCTCCTGCAGCAGTTTCTGGAGCTCACGAAGCATCAAGGCATGGTCACTCTGCTCTTGAGCCCGATCATGCTGCTGGGTGATAAGTCGGGCTTTGGTTTCTGCTATCTGCTCCTGCAGCCCCTTCAATTCTCCCTCCAGACGGCCCCGCTCCTCCTCTGCCTTTTTACTGGTATCTTCTAAGTCCTGTTTCATCTTCTTCTTGTCAGCCAGGTAAGAAGCTTCCATGCGAGACTTCTCCTGCGTGACTGTAGCCAAAGAGCTGGTCAAAGTAGCCAACTGAGTCTTCAGCTGGTGCAGTCGTTTGTCCACTTCCCCACCCCCAGATGGTCCATCCCCACTGCTACTGCTAATGCCACTCTCGGACCCGCTGGCTTCTTCGGACTTTGGAGGTGGGAGTCCACGAGCCGGCCTGTCATCCTCTACTCCAAATTCACCCTTGGTGCTGGTGAGACTTGCCGCAGTATCCAAGCTGGTGGCAGTCCCAGTGCTATCCTCGCTGTGACTGGAACATCGGTCATCCACAGAGTCAGGAAAAGAGAGGCCTGGAGGCTGGACACCTGTGAGGCTGACATCCGCCTCGTGGGATACCGACAGCACCTTAATGCTGGCCTCTAGAGCCTCCTTCTCTTTCAAGAGGCTTTTATAGGCGCGGACCACATCCTTAAGACGTGCCTGGTACTGGAGGAGCTGCTTCTTCTGAGTCTCAATGGTCTCCAGCAGGTCCTTCTTGCTCGGCCCGCCCCCGAAATTCATGCCAAACTTCTCCATGGTCAGAACGGGTTGTTCGACTTCGACCAGAAGAGGGTCGCGAAGACCTTGGCGGGAGCAGTGAACGACGGGGAGATAACTGTTCCCAAAGGCGCTCCTCCAAGCTGTCGGGGACCGGATGCCGGACACGGGGCAGCCTGCAGAAGCGCCCGCCGGGTCCTAGGCACCGAGAGCCGCGGCCAGTCCTATCCTAGAGGCGGGGCGACACCGCCACAAGAGAAGCACACGGCCAGGAATCGCCTGTACTGCCCCAGAAACTGCTTCGCACTCGCCCGGGCCACCGCAGTCCCCGCCGGCCCTCGGCCCACGGTCGGCCACGGGCTTAAATCCAACGTATATCCATCACGACTTTCTAAGTACAGCGGCCGGAGAACGGCGCTTCCGGGTCCCCTGGAAGTGACGACAGCGAGACGCAACAGGCTCCGCCCCCAGTGGGCGCGCGGTAGGCGGAGCTACTTCGGCGGGTGGGTGGGAGGTGGCCTGTTCTGAACCCAGCAAGGCTATGAACGCAGGGCAAGCAAAGTCGAGTACTCCGGAGTGTTTATGTTTTCGTGACGGCGCCCGAGCTTACCTTCGGGCTACGAGGAGCGAGGGGCGGGAGGAAACGCCGCACTGAGTCCTTCTCAAACAGCCTGATGAGCGACACTTCCCCACATTTGAGGCTCAGTATCTCTGTCCCTGAAGATCAACAAGTCAGACTCCCATTTAGACTACGAAAACTGCAACCCTTGATAGACAGTTTCGGCACCTGTTCGGTGTACAGTATAATAATTATTAGCACCCTTCCTGAGTTCTGCTGAGTTGATTCAACAAATATGTGTGGAGGGCACCCTACGGCCATGACCTCCAACTTATGTGCCAACTGTACTCCAAGACCTTCACAAGAGTTTTATTTAGCCCTTGCAGCTATTCTGCTCAGTGGGTGGAAACACGAGACATGGGTTAAATAACGTGCTCAAGGTCACACAACTAGGAATCCTATCTATATCTGTCTACCTCTCAACATACCAAGTCCTGTTCCAGGTGACCACGAAGAAGAGACAAGGCCCTGCCCTCAAGGAGCTCCTATCTAGTGAGAAAGCAGAGATAAAAACACAAGTCCTGCTCTCATACCAGCATGCATGGGTATATTCAAAGTGCTACAGAAGTTAAGAGGAGGGAGGCCTGTCTAGGGGAAGCAGAAAAGGTTCAGGGAAAATACCTGGGGATCTGAAGCATAAGTAGCAATTATCCATCTAACTAAAGATGAGGGAAACAAGCATTCTGGGCAGAGAGAAAAGATTGCTGGGACTCCTAGGGCATCAGAGAGCCTGGCTCACCGGAGAAGCACTGATAATCACCCCATGGCCATAGCTTATGGTATGTCAAGGAGGTTGGCAACAGATGGGCCAGGCACAATAGGTGGAGACACAAATTAAGGCATTTAGACTTTATCCTGGGCGCTAAGAAGACACTAAAAGATTTTAATCTTGGGTGGCATCATCCAGACTTAAATGAGCAAGAGCTCAAGGAGCTCAAAGAGCAGGAGACTGGTAAGGAGGCTATTTCTGTCTTGAGGAAGAGATGGTAGTGAAACAGAGCAAGGACAGCAGGGGCAGACAACAGGGATTGGCTCTTTTAATTAAAGATGTGGAACTGACCTGACTTCCTTACTACTAGTTCTGTTATTATACTGAGACTCTTAAACGCACTCTTCAACCTTGTAAAAAGCCTTCTTAAGAATGCAAGTCTGTGGCTGAAAAGTCAAGGAAAGTCATGGACTCACTCATACCTGGTGCCCAAAGTCTGTTCTCTTTACAGACTTTTCAGGTCAGGACAGGGCAGACCCTGGAGGTCTGTTCAGATAATTTGTCTGTTCAAACAATATCTGTGGCCCAGATAAAATCCAGCTGCACTATACAAAACATTTAGATATATTGTTTCTCCTTTTGTAGAAAATAACAGGTTGTGAGGATCATTGAAGCTAAGCCCTCCAAAAAAGGGGGTAAAAGGCAGAACTGAGATTTGAATTGAGACGTGGACCAACGGTACATGGTAGGCATTCAATCTTTGTTGAATGAGTGAATCAATGAAGGTTCTCTGATTCTCAGCTCATCTCACAATGTCCAGTCCATAAGCAATTGATCCTACAAGCCTACTGGCATGTAGGTTTCAAATTGCTTGACTTTGCTCCACTGAGCCGCCTATTAGATCATCCAAACCAAGTACTGTATTTAAGCATTTATTAGGTGCCTGGCACTGACTCAGTCTCTATCGTAGAAGAAATTTAAATTCCTGTCTTTGCTATTCCCCCTCGTTGCTTAGTGGGGAAATTACTTGTGAAGCACTTTTGTCGAGAGCGACAAGAGTTTCATAAATTCCTGGATTGGAGGACATTAAAAATCCGGGTTCCCAGGTCTGTGGCAAAGTGAAGAAGCTTCAGAAAGGCTGCCTCGGTCAGCTGAAGGACGTTGAGTCCGGGGCCCTTCCAGGCAAGGGCCAGTTTCTCCTGTAGGCAGGAGCAGATTCTGCTGACTGCGAAACCAAGAAAGCCAGCTAGCGCTGGGGCACCTTCTCTTCCCACCTCCCGCGCACTCCTCTCGAGATTCTACGGTCACTTGAACCACCTGCAACGCTCAAAGCCCCTCTCTGGGAGCTGAAGGGGCCAAAGAGAAGACTAAGACGGGAGCACAGAGCTTCCGCTCCCCTAGGAGGGCGGTGCATACAGTGGGTGATGCTAGTTCGAAAGAGCTAAACCTGAGAGCAGGGCAGACTGGACGCAACGAACCAAAGCCCAGGGGCCGGCCACTTAAGCTGCGGGTCGGGGGCCGTTGTGAAACATTGTAGACTCTCCTCGACCCCGCTCGGGCTGCCAGTGAAGCAGCCACAGACCTGCCAGCATTCTAGAAACGGGGAGAGACCGAGATCCCAATCCTCTTTAAAGCCGGCGCGGGACGCCGCGAGACTTTAGAGACTCCAAGCTTCAGATTTTGCCAGAGCCGGAGCCTGGGGGCGGGGAAGGGGCGGGGCGGGGGCGGGGCCATGTCGAGGGCGGGCCCGCGATGACGTAGGACGGGCCGGGACGCGCGGAGGCGGTGGCGGAGCCTCCTCCTCCTGCTGCTGTGCCCCATCCCCCAGCGGCCGGCCGGTTCCAGCCCGCACCCCGCGTCCGTGCCCGCACCCCCTCCCCCGGGCCCCGCCATGGGCCTCACCGTGTCCGCGCTCTTTTCGCGGATCTTCGGGAAGAAGCAGATGAGGATCCTCATGGGTGAGGCAGATCTAGCGCGCGGCCCGGACCGGAGCGCCGGTCCCCGCGCAGCCCTCCCGCCCCCGCGTCCCTCCGAGCCCAGTTCAGCCGGGTCTCTGATCTGGAGTCACCTGCCTCCTAACCCCCCGGGGGTCACTGCTCTCAGGCTGGTCGCGGTCTGCAGCGCCGATCTCCGGGCCTGAGCCCGGGAGCTGCGGGCCTGGGTGGGGTGAAGCTCCCTCCTCCCCAGCCCGGCTGGGAAGAAGGGAGGATTCCGCCCTTGGAGACGACTTTTAAAAGGAGCGCAGCCGTCCTCCCATGCCCTTTCCCCCCTAGCCGTCTCCCGCCTCTCGCCCGTTTTGGGGCACGAGTTGGTGCTCACCACCCAGACTGCTCTTAAGGCCTCGAAGGTAGAGAACAGAGCGCACCTGCAGGCGCTTGGGCTCTCCGCCCCCGTCTCCATCAGCTGTCCTGGCTTCTCCCCTTTCCTGGTCTCTAGAGGGCTCCCTCGCTCCCGTCTCCATCCCTATGCCCCTCTCCTTGCAGTTGGCTTGGATGCAGCTGGCAAGACCACAATCTTGTACAAACTGAAGTTGGGGGAGATTGTCACCACCATCCCCACCATAGGTGAGTTCTGAGGCAAGGCTGGGAGGAGCGGGAGGCTGGCAGCAGGCCTTCCCAGGGTTTGCTACCCATTCTGCCTGAGGCCCTTATCTCTGTGCAGAGAGCTGACCCTGACAGCAGATACTGCTACCTGAGAAGTGGGTCACAGTTACCTTTAGTTGCTGGATGGTGCTCAGGCAGGGTGTATGTGACCTAGCCAGGCCTGGTCTGTGGACTGCCTGTTCTCTGGGGTTCTCTTCCCATGGGACTTGATCATTGCCTTCTGGTTTTATGTCCCCAGTGAATCCACCTAGATTTAGAGAGTTCCTTTCTTTCAGGACTTGGTTCTCATATTTTTTTTCCAATTATCTCCAGGCTTCAATGTGGAAACAGTGGAATACAAGAACATTTGTTTCACAGTCTGGGACGTGGGAGGCCAGGACAAGATTCGGCCTCTGTGGCGGCACTACTTCCAGAACACTCAGGTGGGGTGGGGCTCCCCAACCCCAGGAGAGAAGGTGTTAGGGCTGTGACTGAGATGTTGGCCTAGGCCTGTCTCGAAAGCCAGGGGAAAAAACCTTTACCTCCCATCTATCCACAGTTGTAGCCTTACCTCTCCTCATCCTTCAGGAATGCCTTTAGTTTTCTGAGACTTAGCTACCTTAGCTTCTGAGAACCAGAACTCTGGGGCTATGCTGCCTCATTTATTTGTTTGTTTGTTTTTAAAGTCAGCTTTTTCTCCCAACGTGGGACTTGAACTCACAGTTCTGACTGAGGCAGCCAGGCGCACTCATGCTGCCTCATTTAGCTCTCGTATGGTCTTTCCCTGGTCCCTTGCGCTTCTTCTAACTACACTGCTTGCCTGAGGGCAAAGGCTGTATCCTTTGCATGGTGTCTCCAGTTGGTGCCACCGTGTCTGCAGAAGCTTAGTGAAAAGTTTTAAGATGAGAAGATGGGAAAAAGAAAGAGCCAGACTAGGGTATGTCCCAGCTGGGAGTGATGGCTTGTCCGTTCTTCCTTCTCGCCCAGGGCCTCATCTTCGTAGTGGACAGTAATGACCGAGAGAGGGTCCAGGAATCTGCTGATGAGCTCCAGAAGATGGTGAGCACCCAGAGCCCTGGGAACAGAGCCCTCGTTCAGAGACAGAGCTCTGAGATCTCTGAGCCTGGGTGAAAGTCAGGAAATGTCTCACAGGCCTTGACTGTGTTTCTCTGTGTGGACGCAGTTGGAAGGCATACCTCACTGTGTTTTGAACTGGAGTCAGGTCAAAAAGCCCAAGACTGACTTTTCCCTTGAATCCTCATGTCTTCACACCCGAGGTGTTGGTGGGGAAAGGGGAATTATGTGTGGTGGCGGGAAACATCCTCTTAACATTCTTGTTTTTCCATTGAGAAACGTTGCCATTTTGACTAGGGCAAGTCATTTGAAAAAAGGCTCTTTTTGGATTTAAGGCCAGATGGCTGCAAGCTGACTTAGGAAGCTTGTGTTCAGCTCAGACTACATGATATTACATTTTCCCCACAAATATGTTAGAAGGCAGAAAGGGAGGTTTCCCTGCACAGTGGGAAGGGGAGGCCTGGAGACTTTGCCAGGACGCCGGACTCCATCCCCTTCACCCGTCTCAGCTGCAGGAGGATGAGCTGCGGGATGCCGTGCTGCTGGTGTTTGCCAACAAGCAGGACATGCCCAACGCCATGCCCGTGAGCGAGCTCACTGACAAGCTGGGCCTGCAGCACTTGCGGAGCCGCACGGTGAGGGTCCCGCATCGCCCAAGGGTGCCATGGGGCCGGGGGGGGCGGTGGGCAGGATGTAAAGGCGTCCCCTCATCTTCCCTGCTGCTGAGCTCTCTTTCCTTCTCCCCTCAGTGGTACGTCCAGGCCACCTGTGCCACCCAAGGCACGGGTCTGTATGATGGGCTCGACTGGCTGTCCCACGAGCTGTCCAAGCGCTAACCCACCAGAGGCCGGCCCCTGCTGCCCGGAAGCTCCCGCGTGCACCCGGGACGGCCAGATGCCCGGACTCCTCAGGCAGTGCCCTTCCCTCCCACTCCTCTCCCACAGACACGGGCCTCTGCTCCAGCTCCTGCCTGCATGTTCTCTCTGTCGTTGGAGCCTGGAGCCTCACTGTCTCCTGCCTGCTGGGACCTGTGGAAGGGGGACTTCTCCAGGGCTAAGGCCCCTTCTTCCAGAGGAGGAGCAGGGATCTGGGTTTACTTTCATTTTTTTTCCATTTCGGGAGTACCCTTGGGGCCAGGTGGGGAGGGAAGGTGAGGGCTCTGGTGGTGCTATGATGTGGCACTGGACGTTGAGTAATAAATTTGCTGTGGTTTGTACATGGTGTTGTCTGTAGCCTAGAAGTGAGGGGGCTGGGTTGTTGGATACAAAGGGACGATGCGATAGGAAGGAAGCTCAGAGCCACAGAGACTGCAAAGCGACCCCCTCCCCCATGTGCACACAGACAGGCTCCCTTCATCCAGCTCAGCTTCTCCCTCCTTATTCTTGAGGCTACAAGCACTCCCCAATTCCAGGGGGCCTTTGCTGAGGGGATCTACTTTCATGATTCTGTAAATCTCCTACATCCTGGGCCTTTCCATCTCCTAGCTACTTAGAACGGTGGTTCTTAATGATTACTGTGAACATTAAAATTGGGGGGCGGTATTTATTAACAATAGCACCCCGAGGGGCACTTCAGAAAATATGACTCATTAGGACTCATCTGAAGCCCAAGAATATGCATCTTAGAAATTACACAGGTGATTCTGTCACTACTACTCTGTTAGTCTTATTCTATGAAACACCGTAGGGTCCTTCTAATCCTTGGGGATTAAAGTTCCTCACCATGCGAGGCAACTCTTTCTACCTAATAGACACCTCTGGCCCTGTACCACCTCACCCCCACGGCAGAAAGAGGAAAGTATGTGCACGGAACCAGGAGTGTGGGTGGTTCTCCAAGTGTGGTTCACTCTGCCCGTTCTTCGAATCCCTGCAAAGCTTAAACAAAACCTGCCTTTGCCACCATTATTTCTTCTTGCCTTTCTCCTTTCATGTGGTCAGTTTCTCCAGCTACTGGCCTGATTTTCTCCAGGAGCTTTGTAGGAAGTGAGTCCCAGAAGCTGTTGGCCAACAGGGACCCTTTGAGGGGAAGGGCCGGGATCCTTAGGAACAGTGAGGCAGGGGATTATGAGGAAGATGCCCAGGGCTCTCCCTACCTAGGACATTTCCCTTCCCCTGCTCTGAGCCAACCCTTCCTGATGAATATGAGTCATTTGATCCTTGCTGGTTATCTATCTAGGGTTTCCTCACACCCCCTGAAAAGCACCTTCTGAGACATTTTGGCCTCATTCTCCCAAGGGCTGTAAAAGTTAATAAATTTTTCCTGGATATCTTGAACTCGAAAAACACTTGAGTCCCAGGGGAGCCAAGCAGACCTCACTTCATGGGGAGGAAAGAGGTTGGTCTTTATCCTGTGATTAAAGTGAGAAACAGAAGCAAAGAATGAAAGACACTTGCCTGTAGTCACAGGTTATCACTGGCCCAGGCTGGAGTTCTGATTCCCAGTCTTAGCTCAGCTCTGTTGGTGCCTGGAGTTGCACAGGGAGCTTGACGCCAGAGGCCCTAGACCCACTTCCTCTGGGCTGTGGATTGACTATGGCCGGGCCAGTGCCCTTTCCCCACTATGGATAAGAGGCAGCCCTCACAGTCACAATGCTCCCGGGTCACAGAGGCGCTGGGCCCTAGGCCAGCCTCTGCCTGAGAAATTCCCTCTGGGAACGTCTTCTGGTGGGTACTACAGGCCTGATTCCAGGCCCTATGGCCTGTGGAACAGCACCACTGGGGGGAAGGCTGGGCCGGACAGAGTCATCACCTGTGGTGCCGGCCCCATGGAAGAGGTGGAGTGGACGCGAAGACCCAAGCCTGAGGAGCTAAGGGTTGGGCTCATCAGCTGGGCAGGATCCTACCTCACTTTTGAGGCATATAAGAACACGGTCACTGCTACTGCAAAGGGCTTGGGCCGGAGACAGGTAACCAGGCAAACCTGTATGGGAGTCCTCTTTCCTAGTGGCCAAGCTCTGGTGTGCGTGTGTGTGGGGGGGGTGGGGTGGCTGGGATACACTTGCTATCATTTTCCTAGCCTTTGCCATTACCAGCCCAAGACCCTCCTACCCCAGGCTTTTGCTCACAGGTCTTGATCCCTCCCTCTCTCCCTTTCTCAACTTGTTCCGAGAGGCAAAGCCTCAGCCCTTGCTGCCTTGCCTTCTCTGGCTGCTTTCTTCCCTCCACCCCAGCACCAGGTGGTTGTGTCATCACAAAGAGGAGAGGTGAAGAGCCCAGGCTGGAAGGCAGGATTGTGGGCCTCTGGCGTGCCAGGGGCGGCGGCGGGCCGGGGGTGGGGGTGCAGTGCAGGTAGGGATGGACTGATTCTGTTCGGTTGTGGGTTGTGGTTTGGGAATGCTTATCCCTGGAGCCTGGGCCTGCCTGCCCCGATCTAAGAGGTCTTGACTTTCTCCTGCCCTGCTGGGGAGGTGGGCTCTGGGGAGGGGAGTGTTAGTTAACATGCTCTCCAGGGGCAACAGTGAGGAAGAGAAAAGTCAAACTTAAACCAAAGCACTTCTTAGAAAATTAGGCATTGAAGGAAGCCACCAAGTAAGAGAGAAGGAAGTTTACCTTTGGTGAGCTGGGAGAGGCAGGTCCTTAGAACTTTTCTTGGGATCTTGAGAAGTGCCCTGATTCCAGTAGGAAAGGTCTCCTGAAATCTTTTGATCAGTTGGATGAGAGGGTGGGAGAGCTGGCAGTCTCCGTGGAGGCCGATGTGGAGGTGAAGGTGGTTGGTTGCCATGAAGGTGCTAGGGTGATGCCAGGCATGATGGCATTGGACACCCTGGCCTGGTCATTCGGCAATACTGATCTCCTGCCTCTCCCTCCCACCACCTCCAGACCTGGGAGATCTTGGTGAGCAATGAGCATGACGCACAGGCCGTGGTCCGACTACGAGGCTTGCAAGGCCTTTACCTCCTGTGCGAGGCAGACGGCAGTCTATGCTACGGCCGGCCCAGGACCAGCCACCACGGGTGCTTCCTCCTGCGTTTCCACCGCAATGGCAAGTGGACCCTCCAGTGCATAATTAGTGGCCGTTACCTGGAGTCTGACGGTGAAGATGTGTTCTGCAACTCCAGGGTCCTCTCAGCCTATCACATGTGGACCCCCCGTCCGGCCCTGCACGTCCACGTGATCCTCTACAGCCCTGTGAGCCACTGCTACGCCCGGGCTGACCCCACTGTGGGCCGTGTCTGGGTGGATGCGCCCGTTCCCTGCCTGGAGGAATGTGGCTTCCTGTTGCATTTCCAAGATGGATGCTACCACCTGGAGACATCAACACACTTCTTCTTATCCCACGTAGACCGGCTGGTCCCCCAACCCTCAGCACAGACAGCTTTTCACATGCAGGTCCGGCCGGGAGGGCTCGTGGCCCTGAGCGACGGAGAAGGAGGCATGCTGTACCCGCAGGGCACACGCCTGCTTCTGGGCCTGGGCTCCAATCCCCACAGGGGTGAGGAGTGGTTCGTCCTACAGCGCTGTCCCACCTGGGTCAGCCTCAGGTCCAAGACTCGGAAGTTCCTCTCCATCATCTATGGCAAGTGCTGGCTCTAGGACAGCTGCGGAGGGAGGGAGACCTGGCTTCTGGGAAAGAGAAAAATGTACTGGAGAGCAGCAGATATTTTGGAAGCTGCTGATAAGGAGGATCCTAGGGTCCCAACAGGATCTCTTAGGCCATGGAGTAGGGTGATAAGGCAGGGGCAGGGACTTCAGGGAATAGCTTGGGTCTTCTCCAGGCTCCTGTGGTCTGCAGAAGGTGGTAAAGGCTGAGGAGGGGAACCAGAGGGAACCCAGACAGAAGGTGTGGAGGAGGGGCTGAGACTGAGGTTGAAACCAGGCTCTGGCTCCTTCTGACATGATCTTTCTCTGCAGATGTCGAAGTGTGTGCTGCCTCTGAGCACATAACCCCAATGTCCTTGTTCCAGTTTGAATGCGATGATGAGAGCCCCACCTTGCAGCTTCGTGCAGCCAATGGCTGCTACCTAGCCCAGGTGAGACCTTGGCCTTCCGATCGAGGGAATCCTTCATCTCTGAGCTCTCCCATTCTAGACATACTTTCTCCTTCTTCAAGGCAGGTGACCAGAGGCTGAGGTGGAGGACGGTGGAGACAAGGGTGGAGACCCTTGTCAATTTTCAACCAATGGGCCCAATTTCATTCAATGGGGCCTCTCTGAAAAAAAAAAAAAAAAAGAAAGAAAAACCAATTTTATTGCGGCACAATTTATATACAATCCACTGCACTCGTTTCAATGTGCAATTCAAGAAGTTTTGACAAATGTATACACTCATGCATGTATACACACATGTATATACCCAATCACACATTAAAGATTATTTCCATCACCACGGAAATTCCCTCTTGCCCCTTTGTAGTCAGTCCCCCTTTCCTCTTGCCCTCCCCTCCACCTGTTACTGTTCTGTCACTGCACATTACAGTCACCTACTCTAGAATTTCCCATGAATGGAATCACACCATGTTACCGTGTATATTCTTCCTTTCATCAGCATAGTATTTTTGAGATTCATGATCCATGTATCAGTAGTTTATCCTCTGTTATTGCTGAGCAGTTTCCCATACTACTACTCATCAACACACACATGATTTATTTATCCATTTACTTGTTGATGATCACTTGAGTCCTTTCCAGTTTGGGCTATTGTGAATAAAATTGCGGGGCACCTGGGTGGTTCAGCCGGTTAAGCCTCTGCCTTCAGCTTAGGTCATGATCCCAGGATGCTGGGATGGAGCCACATGTCAAGCTCCCTGCTGAGCAGGGAGCCTGCTTCTCCCTCTCCTCCCCACTTGTGCTCTCTCTCTCTCAGTATCTCTGTCTCTCAATCTCTCTCTCTCTAGTAAATAAATAAAATCTTTAAAAAAGTAAAGTTGCAAGGAACATTTGCCTACAAGGTTTTTTGTGGGTCTGTATTTTCAGTAATCTTAGGGGTAGAAATACTGGGTCACATGATAAATGTGTGTTTATATTTTAATTTTTTAATTTTTTTAAGATTGCATTTATTTCCTTGAGAGAGAGTGAGCTAGAGAAAAAGAGAGAGAGAGAGCACGCACAAGCAGGGGTGCGGGGGGGAAGGGTGGAGTGAGAGGGAAAAAGAGACTCCCCACTGAGCAGGGAGCCCAACGCAGGACTCAATCCCAGGACCCTGGGATCATGACCTGAGCCAAAGGCATACACTTAACCAACTGAGCCACCCAGGTGCCCCATGTTTACATTTTTAAGAAAATGTTAAATAGTTTTCTAAAGTGAGTATTCTATTTTACATTCTTGCCAGCAATGTATAGGAGTTCCACTAACTGTTCCACATCCTCATCAACACTTGATATTGTCTGTATTTTTAATTTTAGCCACTCTAATGGATGTGCAGTGACATCTTACTGTGCCTTTAATTTGCATGTCTCTTCTAATTAGTAACATTGAGTATCTTTTCATGGGCTTATTGGCCATTTGTATATCTTCTCTGTGAGGTGTCTGTTCAAATCTTTTGCCCACTGGGTTATCTTATGATCAAGTTGTAAGTATTCTTTCTTATGTTCTAAAGTCAAGAGTTCTTTCTGTGTTCTAAAGGCAAGTTCTTTGCCAAATATATGAATTGTGTTCCTTGCAACCTGTGGCTTGCCTTTTCATTTGCTTAGTAGTGTCTTTTGAGCGGCAAGTTTTTTATTTTGATGAAGTCCAATTTCTCCACTCTGCAAACGATTAGTGAATTTTTGGTTCCAATAAATCTTTGCCTGCCCCAATGTTGCAAAGAATTTCTCCTAGGTTTTCTTGAAGATGTTTTATGATTTTGCTTTCATTTTTATGTCTTTGATCCATTTGGAAATGATTTTGGTATCTGGGCTGAGGTTTATTTCTCTCCATGTGGTTATCCAGGTCCTTTTTTGATAATGGACTCTGGGATATAGCCAAGATTGGGGAAGTGGGGGAGCTGAGACCACAATATGTTTTCCAAAAAGGATGTGAAAACGGGGCACCTGGGTGGCTCAGTTAGTTAAACATCTGCCTTTGGTTCAGGTCATGATCCCAGGATCCTGGGATAGAGCCCCTCATCAGGCTTCCTAGGGAGCCTGCGTCTCCCTCTCCCACTCCCCCTGCTTTTGTGCATGCTCTCTCTCTCTCTCTCTCTGTCAACTAAATAAATAAAATCTTAAAAGAAAGAAAGAAAGAAAGAAAGAAAGAAAGAAAGAAAGAAAGAAAGAAAGAAAGAAAAGAAAAGAAAAGGAAAGATAGGATGTGAAAGCATAAAGCATACCCTGGGAGAATGAAGAAAGCCAGTGGGTGGGATGTGGGAAAGGGTCTAGGAATAAAAATGTTGGGAAGAAAGCTGAGATTTTGTCCTTGTTTCTCTTGTCTGCTCCCTGTAATCTCTCCAGAGGCGCCACAGGACAGTGGTGGCTAATGGGCACCCCATGGAGCCTGATACCTTCTTCCGAGTGCACTGGAATTGTGGCAAGATCATCCTGCAGTCTCCCAATGGACGCTTCTTGGGCATCGTAGACAATGGCCTGCTGATGGCCAATGCCACCATCCCAGGTGAGGAGAGTGGCCCTCCTGCCAGGTTATCCCAAGTCAGAGATGCTTTCAGAGGGAGCTGGGCTGTAATAGAAAGAGAACTGGAGCTGGGGTCTGTGTATTTGCTGAATCACTGAATTTGCTGAATGACAAGGAATTTTTGTCATCACTTGGGCAAACACATCTTTGAGCCCCAGTTCCATTAGCTCCCTTACCAAGGGGGGTGCCTCTCCAACCCACCTGCCTCCCAGAAGTCGTGTGAAGATTAAATAGATTCACACCTCTCAAAGGAAGGAAGGATATTAAAACCTCTTGGGCTCCACATCCTATTAAGTGTTTTGACAGACATTTCATAAAGCACCCAGCCTAAGATCCAGCACCTAGTAGGTGTTTAGTAATTGTTTAAATGTTGACAACTTGCAATTAATGTCCCTCTTCCTGCTTCTACCTGGGAAAGCATCTGGAAGCAGCTCATCCAGATAACTCCTCTATGTTTCTTCCAGGCCCCAATGAGGAATTTGGGATTCGATTAGCTAACCGGCCCTTCCTTGTACTGCGAGGTCGTTACGGGTACGTGGGCACGTCCTCAGAGCATGACCTCATGAAGTGCAATATGGACCAGCCAGACTGCATCCACCTGCTGCCTTGCCGCCAGGGCATCTACCACTTCCAGGGTGAGGAGCTCCTCTTTTCCGTGAACTTCTGGGTTCACGGTCTTGTCCTGCCTTAGCCCCAACTCAGACTCCAATGTCTTCTGCTCAGAGCCTACTCAGCAGAAAAGGAAAAATGGAGTTTCTCTTTGTTTTCACATGTCAAGGCCCCCCTGAGTGGGTTGGTAGACCCAAACCCAGCCCTCCCACATTTCCACAGATGGACCTGCCTACGTAGGCAGAGTGGGGAAGTCAGAGGGGCTGGCGCGCTTGCCGGGAGCCTCCTCTAGCCATCCAGCGGGAGGACTTCATCCTTCACCCTTCCCTCCCCAGCACAGGGTGGATCCTTCTGGTCAATAACATCCTTCGGCACCTTTCGTCCTTGGGGGAAGTTTGCTCTCAACTTCTGTATAGAGCTTCACGGGAGCAACCTGCTCACGGTGCTGGCGCCCAATGGCTTCTATATGCGATCCGACCGAAGCGGCACCCTGTTGGCAGACAGCGAAGAGATTACCAAAGAGTGTATTTGGGAGTTTTAGGTAAGATCAAGTGGGTCAGGACCAGGAGGTAGAGGAGAAGGAGCTGAGGGGCAAGGAAAGAAGGGAAGTGGGTAAGCATGAGACCAAAACACATCTGTGGACTGACTTCTGTCCCACAACCAGATCAGCTCCAGACATTTATTCCAAATCCAGACTCTCCTCTCGGGGCTTCTAGAGACTGACTTGCTGGAGAAAGGAGGGGAAATCAGATCTAGGTTTCTGACAATGAGACCACACTGACATGTGTGTGCCAGCAAGCTTGCAGGGGACAGAATCAGGTGTATCTCTCTATGTTAAGATGCAGAGCTTTGCCCCACTCAGGGAAGACAGGTAACTTTGAGGGTATGCCTTCTAAGCTATGCACTTTCTATCCCTGCACCCCTGGATCCCTTGAGTGCTGATGGCTCCCAGGTATTCATCTGCAGCTCTGACCCTTCTCCTGAATGCTAACCTCCTCTCTTTCCAACTTTCTGATTGACAACTGACTTGACTTTGTCCTGCCAACCTCTCAAAATCAGCCTCCTCCCCATCCCTTCTGCAGATGATTCTTCCGGTCCTCCCCCATGGCCATCTAGAGTGTTGCTGTCCTCCCAGGTGCTCTGGATCAAGATCTCAGCACCATCTTGCCTTCCTCCCTTTCATTCCCTTTACCAAACCCTGAAAACTCTTGGGTACTTCCATAACCATGATTTGAGCACTTGCTCATTCTTAACTACCTTTGCTACCGTGTGAATCCAGGCTTTTCACCCAAAGCCTGCACTGTGATGAGGGCTCCCCGGCAGCACTCCCTGCCTCCAGATCCGTCCATCCCATCTCTCTCCATGCCAAATTTGCTTTCCTAAATCTTTCCCTGTTCACAGGTTTTCAGGACACCTCACTGCTCTTTGCCCTGTTACCTCACAGTTGACCTCACTTTCCTGGCTTGGAAGGGCATGAGGATGTTGTGGGAAGAAAAGCTTTGGTTTTGGTATCACATAGACCTGGAACCTTGGGGAAATTGCTTTAACATTTCTAGGCCTTGCTTTCTCTAGCTGTAAAATGGGAATAATATCTACTTCATAGGATGGTATGAAGGTTAAGTAGCCATATGGATCTAGATATGGACCCCCACTATATATGTTCACTCCTTTCTTGCATTTCCTACTAGTTTTCTTTTTTTTTTCTACTGTTTTTTCTTTTTAAAGAGTTTATTTATTTGTTTGACAGACAGAGGTCACAAGTAGGCAGAGAGGCAGGCAGAGAGAGAGAGGAGGGAAGCAGGCTCCCTGCTGAGCAGAAAGCCCGATGCATGGCCCAATCCCAGGACCCTGGGATCATGACCTGAGCCGAAGGCAGAGGCTTTAAACCCACTGAGCCACCCAGGCACCCCTCTACTGGTTTTCTAAACAAACCCTTTGCTAGGGCCAAAGTGGAAAAAAAAAATCAAATGAAATTCCACCAGGCTTGTTTTCTTATCTGTTTCATAAAGGGTTTCAATGGAACTAAATTTCACAGGCTCCTTCCAGGCCATGACATTCCAGTAGACAATGTATCATAGTGGTTAATAGCTCATTCTTAGACATTGAACTGGGTTCTCATTGGATTTTTATCAGTTAAACTTGTTTGACCCTGGAAAAATGAACCTCTCAAATCCTGTTCCTGGCCAATAAAATGGGAATATAGTATATATCTTGTAGGATTTTGTTGTGTTATGAGAAATGATGATTATAAAATGTATAGTAAGCAGCCTGGAATCTAGTGCAGGGTCCTTTATCAGAAGCCTTCCCCAATCCAGTTGAATTCTTAGTAAATCTTATCTGTTGACTATAGTATCGCTTTGAATTCTGATGCTATTTTTAATAACTGACTAATTATTCTGATTAAAAATAATTTTTACTGCCTTTGCCTATAAATTAGTTTCACATACAACATAAACACATACACATACAATTTCACATTCATCAAGCATGGGACAAAACAGGACAGTCAGTCACCTAAGCGTCTGACTCTTGATCGCAGCTCAGGTCTCAATCTCAGGATTGTGAGTTTGAGCCCTGTGTTGAGCTCCATGATGGGTGTGGAGCCTACTTTAAAAAAAAAAAAAGAAAGAAAAAAAAATAATAATGGGACAAATCACTTTATTCTGTCTTTTCCCAGTTGATCTTACCAAATTTTTCCAGCAAATCATTGACTCAAGGTTTCTGTTTCCTCTTCCCTTTCCAGGTCAATGGGATGCCACCTATGGAAATCCAAATCCTCCAGGAGAAACTACTGCACTAAACACAACAGGAACCCCAGAGTCAAGATCCATGAGAATATCTGTTACACAACTTTCCCTACCCAGTTTAGCAAAACACCTGTTTCGAGCAACAATACACAAAAGGCCACCCCCAAGAGCCCTTGTGTGCATCTGACTCAGTAAAGAATAAGGGTCTGGAGGTGGGTAGAGTCCAAGGCCCCAAGCCCCCCACAAGTTCTATCCGGAAGAGGCAAGACCAAATGGTAACCAGTGCTTCCATTGATCTTCCCCCATCCCCACAGGACCACAAGAATTTTTCCAGTAATCATGTGAGAAGTTAGTTTTGCCCTGAAGGATTCAGAATCCAGAAATGATTAGATGTCCTTTGGGTTTTGAAAGAATGAAGATTATGAGTCCTATGGGCACAGGGTAATGATCATGACACATCTTATGCCTAGATAGCCTGAAATTGACCAATCATCTCACCTTTGATCTTGTCAGTTGGGCAAGACAGGTACTTTGCCTGTCATCACCCACCTTTTACAGGGAGTTGAAGTGAGGGTCCCATGACTGGGAGCTCTGACTCAATTCTTCGATTAGGGGATTGTAATGTCCACTACTCTTTCCATCAAAACAGAGCTTCCACAATGAACATCATTCTTGTACTGTCTTTATAACTTTGGCCTTCATCTATCTACCATTTGTTCTATCAACGTCTTTATTGACATAAACTTTTAAGTAATTTTATTTAGAAAGGAATATTTTAGAGTTGCCTGGGTGGCTCAGATGGTTAAGTGTCTGCCTTCGGCTCAGTCATGATCCCAGGGTCCTGGGATCAAGCCCCACATCAATCTCCCTGCTCAGTAGGAAGCCTGCTTCTCCTTCTGCCTGCCCCTCCCCCTGCTTGTGATCTCTCTCTTTGTGTCAAATAAATAATAAAATCTTTTAAAATAAAAAAGGACTATTTCAATCACTATCACAAAATAGGAGACTCACTTGCCATAAATAGAAAATGACCTTAAAAATAAATACAATGAAAACTAAGTGATGTTATCAAATCCTAGTTAGATTTCCCTCCCCTGCCCAAACCTCAGAACCAGAGGTTCCCTTTCCCTCTGTTATAAAAAAGGTTAACAATTGTTACAGAGGACCAAAATGAAAGCTTTCTCTTCAGTGCAATGAGATTTGAAAGGAAGTCAAAAGGGGAATAATATTCTCATTTCTGACTATATATTATTTAAAGCAGTGTCTACACGCCTCCTGAAATGTTCTCAAATACCAACAGTGATGTCTGACCCCCACTTCGGGAAAATTGCACCATACTATAACGAGTGCCTGGTTTTTCAATCTGTTAAGAAAAGAAGCTAAAACCACAATATGGGAGAGATTCCATTTGCATAGAGGAAAATGACCTCTGGTTTTTGTAAGTATGTTTCTCCTCAAGAGATAGAAAAGAATTCTTTTATATTTTTAGAAGATTTTATTTATTTGACACAGAGAGAGAGAGAGACAGCAAGAGCAGGGGCAGTGGGAGAGGGAGGAGCAGGCTTCCTTCTGAGCAGGGAGCCTGATGGGGGGCTCGATCCCAGGACCCCAGGATCACGACCCAAGCTGAAGGCAGATGCCAAACAACTGAGCCACCCAAGCACCCCAAGAGATAGGAAAGAATTTTGTAAAAATTTTAATCTAGCAAGCAAAGCTTTAGAACACTAGAGCCCAGGATATCCCTTTCCTAGAGAACATTAAGAATAGACCAGAGATATGAGTTGGAATACAGTACACTATTCAGAGAGACTGGACTTTGGGGTCATTTAATGCAGAATCTTTTCCTCAGCATTCCATAAATGCATATACAAACTTAGATGCACAAGCATTCATTTGCACGGAGATACACACACACACACGCAAACACCCCACATAGTCTGTTACCCCCATTCCCTACAAGTGGCCATCCATCCTCCCCTTGAATGTGTTCGGCCATGGGGCTTCAGCGGGCAGCAGCCTTCATTGCCGACCTCAGTCCTACAGCTGAGTGAATGGCTTGTTCTCAGACTGTACCGTGTGGATTGTCACTCCCCAAAACCTCACCCATTTTCCCGGGCAGTCTGTCAGCAGGGGAAGGGGGTAGGGTGTGCTCCATCACCCTTGGCATTTCACTTGAGAGCTATGCTGGCCCATAGAACTTTCTGTGCTGATGGAAATTCTAGATTGTTCTATAATGTTTACCATCTGATACAGGAGCCAGGGGACACCTGTGACCACTGGGCATTTGATATGTGACTGGTGTGAATGAGGAGCTGAATCGCTCATTTTACTTAATTTTAGTTACATTTATATAGCCACATGTGACTGGTGGCTGGTTGCTGAAGAGCATGGCACTACAGTATTTGATGATGAGATAACTTCTGGGTAAGCACCCTTCCCAGATGGGAGAAACCAGACTTGCCCCCACTCCTCTTATCCTGCTTCCCACCATCATCATTCTAGCCCCAGCTCTTTAATAGGGAACAAGCTGGGAGGAATGAGCCTCTCCCGCTCAAGAAAGATATCCCTTTCTTCACCACCTTTTCCCCCTATTCCTCTTTCCCTACATACCAACACTTCCTAGGGGGAGCCTAGAAGTTTCTCTGCAGGGAGACAAAATTGAGAAGACTTGGAACTTACTGCCAAGAAGAAGCAAGCAAACCTGCCCCCCGAGCATGAATAAAGGGACAAAGAGTATGAATAATGGCTTTTCCACTCTGCTGCTTTGCCAAAGATACATATGCAATTAAGGAAGTAAAGTGTATTTTCTTAGATTAACAAAGTATTGTAAATTTTCTTGGCTGTTGTAGCTATGTAAGAAAAGTTCCTTATTTTGGGGGAATGCCTTGGTGACTTGGGGTGACATCCCATGACACGTGCCATCAGTGTATGGGTGTGTGGGTGGGTGTGCCTGTCAGTGTGTGAGCACCCAAACACTAATATAGGTACGTATCTACAGACCTACATCTGTAGGTATATATACAGACAGATAAATATATAGATTAGGCAGACTGGATAGTTCCATAGACATACAGATACGTTAAATAGATGAGAGCTAGATACATACATACATAGTTACATATATAAATAGATCATATAGATACATAAATTAGATGGATTGGAAGATAGGGGGATAGAAAGATAGAAAGATAGGAAGATAAAGATGGTAGGTAGCTTGATAGACATATAGATAGAGATAGAACAAACTTTATTGTTAAATATAGGGGTGGGAGTATAAATATTCATGGGAAAAACACCAACAGGAACTACTGCTAATTTAAAAAATGTTTTTATTCCTGCCAAGTTGAGGCCATTTAAGGCCAGTGTGAGTAGTGGGTGGGCACGGCTTCTCCAGCCCCTCCAAGGAGTTGTGCTGCATCAGGGGTGGGGTGTGGGGCGGGTGCAGCGAAGCAGGGCCACAAGAAGGAGGGGGCAGCAATAATGTGCTTGTCAGGATGATACTAGGTCCTCCCCACCCCATCCCCTTTCCACTCTGGCCCTCCTCCCTCATTCCAGGTCTTGCAGGGGTGGGGAGCAGGGCCAGGGCCAGAGCAAGGCCTCAGGGGCACCAAGACTGGCACTGGGGGCAATGGAAGGAAGGACAAGGGTGGCAGAGCAGGACTGAATCCAGGGAGCTCAGCTGCAGGAGGCAGGTAGCCTGCGGGGACAAAGATATGGTGAGTTTGGTTTGTTGCTGTGATCCCACCCCTCAAAGTCACTGGTGGGGAGGACAGACCCTATATATATATATGAATGATGGATATATGTACTCATATCCCAATCCCATCCTCTTTTCCTGCTAAGGCTATCAGTGGTACTATAGACCCTGGGGGTGCTAGTCTCCAACCTTGTAAGCGTGCAAGGAATGAAGAAAGCTGTGTCAAGATTCCTTGATGACCCCGACTGAAGATTCCTGCCCTCTTGTGGGTCAAGAAGTAAGCCCTCCCCACACCGTGCAGCAGTGAGGCCTAGCTTGTGGATTCTTACCCCAGCAGGGCTTGAGAGAGGCCTGGGGTGGGGTGTCACTGAGGCACCTGTCTGGTGCTGTCCTCCAGCACAGCTGATAGCAGGAGGGACCCAAGGATTCGAGGGCAGGCAGGACCGCTGTGGGCACACTGCAAGGTGACTGCTAGAAAAAGCAGAGAAACCCCCTTCCCCACGCGCACACACACTGTCAGTGATGGCTCCTATTCGGCAGACCTGGGGCTCTAAGGCTGCCCCCGGCCTCCGGCTGTGTCCTGTACGACTCCAGAGGGCACCATTCACATGGTAGACTAGGAGGATGGTGCTTTCCGAAGTGTGCAGTGTAGGAACTTAGAACAGTCAGGAATTCTAGCTCAGGCCTCACTGGGAATGGGAGAAGTGAGCTCTTGTCTTCCCAGGTCACCAACTCCCCTCTCTTCCTGGATACCTGTGCAGAGGTGGCCCCTGGGGAGGTACTTGGTAGACTCAGATCCTGGGAAGCACCTACAAGGTGAGAGCAGATCCACTCAGAAGGAGGAATGGGTCTAGGGAGTGGGAAGGAGTGGGGAGCAGCAGGGAGGTCCTAGGAAAGGCAGCAACTTCTGGCAGGGATGGGAGGAGATGGATGCTACAACCCTAAATGGCCTCCTCCCTAAGGCTGAGCCTTGGGAAAAACTGGAGAAGAAGGATGGTAAGCAGGGGACAGTGCAGACCTGAAGAACAGAGACTCTGAATGCGGAGTATCTAACACAGGGCCTGGCACATGGAAGATGCCGAGTAAATGTGTAGTGGATGGATGGATGGATGGATGGATGGATGGATGGATGGATGAACAGATGGATAGGTGAGTGGAAGGATGAATGGATCCAATGCATGCATGAATGCATGGAAGGATGGGTGGGATGGATGGAAGGATGGATATGCAGAGAAATCACCTGGAATCTGCATTTCCCACTTGAGCTTCTCTTGTCGGCGCCATTTGGCTCTTCGGTTAGAAAACCAGACCTGGGGGAAGGCGGAAACAGCGTAGCTGGCTGTGCTCCTCAATCCGTGGCACCTACTGCTCTCGCCACACTTTTGTGGTCTGGACCTAGAGCGCAGACCTGATGCCCTCCCTCCCTGCTTTGGCCTTTGTTCTCTGTCCCCTGCCTCACCTCAAAGGCTTGGAGTGGGGAAGAGAGGAGAGCAATCAGCAGAAGGAGA